AAAATTTGAAAGGGAGGGGGGGGGGGGAGGGAAGACGTAATGTGGCGGCTCACCAGTTGTGAATTTTACTTTATGAGATATTAAGACCGGATTCGAGCTCGTCGGAGATTTTGCAGGAAACACGCAAGACCACCGAGACATCCGGTACACGAAACGAATTTGTACGACGCGAATTCGACGACGATGACGGGACCTAAGGCACGTCGCGACCTCATTGCAATTCCATTCCTAGAAGCGGCACACACGACGTGTATACCGAACAAAGTGAACGTACGCGAGAGAGCACGCGAGTGTGTGGCGTAATTTGGACGCGGGAACGCGTTCACGGAGCTCACGCACACTGATCTGGAAGGGCGGGGGGAAGGGGGGGGGGTCTCTGGTTATTTCGTTTTCGCTTAACCCTTGCCTGTGTATGCGCGAATCACAAGCAGGAAACGATGACGCGGCTTGAATAATGTACGCACGAGAGAGAGAGAGAGAGAGTAACCGGAAGTTGCGCGAAAGCGACGACAAATCTTACGGGACATTAGCATTAGTAATGCACGATGCTGGAATTGATTCGAAGAGAATATTGTTTCTCCATAGAAAGAGAAAGGGAGAGAGAAATTTATTAATTATTTGGAGATACGCGATCGTGAAATCGACGGAGCTTGATTATCATTCAAGCAAAGAGGATACTAGCGTGGATATTACCCGGTAAACACCAACAGTAACATTATACTAATGTTACAATTTCCCTCTCAACGATGGAAATGCAATATAACATGCGTTATATATAATAGTAACATTATTGAGTGGGAAACGATAACATTGTTATTACTATCAGTTAGTGTTTACTGGCTAATTAGTGTACAAGACGAAGCGAAATGATTCCGAAGTAATTTTAACGCTTCTCTTTTGTTAAAAAAAAAAAAAAAAAAAAAAAACCATCCATAGCATGCGAAGAGTGAAAAATTCCGAGGCCTTTTGTTGCGTCCCTACTCAAGAATCACGAACGTCCAACAACGAGATTCGAGATGAGCTGAGTGAATCCAGGTATCCCGCCGGGACGACTACGCGGCGAGAGGCGAGCAAACGATCCGAGAACTGAGGGTAAATATCCGAGACGGAGACGACTCACCATGCAATTGTCCGAGACGCCGTTGCCGAGATTCCGTATCTCCTGCAGACTGCCCCAGGGACGTGGCTTGTTGTCCTGCTTGCCGGTGTACGAGTGGCAGAAGGGTCGTGCGTACTCCATGCTGGAATTGACGTCCTCGAGGCTGTGGACCAACGACTTGGCGACCTGGTTGCCGCCGCAGTAAACCTTCGGGCTGAGCTTGTTATTGGCCGCGTCCACCGGCAGCTGCTGCTTCGTCTTCTCCGCCGACGTGCCCGCGGTGGTTCTGGACGATTCGTCGTCCTCGATACCGTCGAGCATCGCCGTGGTGCAGACCGACGCGAGGGAGCCAACGGACGTACTGGCCAAAGTGCAGCTTCGTGCCGCTGCAGGGGCAGATGTTCCCGCAGGGGCGCAGGTGGTGGTCGTACCCCCACCATTCCCCGACCGCATCTCTGAAACGCGTGCCTTCGTGGGTCCCCACCGTTTTCCTCCATTGTTACACAGCTCACTCGCGCCCGTCCGACGGCCGAAAGCGAGCACGCGAATTACGGCGAGGACGTCGTGAAACGCGCGACCGTCGTGCCGGGTTTTACCTTTAGCCGGGTCGAATTTTAGTTCCTTGTTCCACCGCACCTCCGAGGTCGCGCGAACCGCCAGCCGGTGTCCCGCGGCCTCGCCGATGGACTCCCGGGATGATCGCGCCGTTACGTTCTGAAAATCGATTTTGTAGGAGAGACGAAGTATAAATAATCTCACGTAAGAAAAATAGATCGCGGAGAGAATATGAAGTCGGTGGCTGAATCGATTGGAATATGACGTGTGCACGCGTGCTTACCGACTTACCGCGAGTAAATTTACCGAGAGTATGAACACACGCTGGCTGCACAGTTTGGAAAATTCAGAAGCGAAATCATCATCCGACCGTGTGAACGCGGGAAAATGTTCTTTCTTGAAAAGCCACGCGAATCGAAATCTTGTTCGTTGGATATAAGTGTCAAGTATATTTGTTTATATTTATTTTATGTCAACATACAGGGGGTCGCAGTACAAGGAAGGTGCATGAATATCTCTTGTTTTTAAGAGAGAAATGTTACAAATCGAAAGAGAATGACCGTAAAAACATTCTCCTTTGGTATTCCTCTTTCGAGATCACACGAATTGTGCCTCGGACATTTCTCATTGAAAACCAAAAGAGATATTTAATTATTCTCCTTATGCTGGGACATCCTGTATGTCATCGTTTGACGCACCGATCTCGCAAGTTAGTCATTCCAAATGTAATACTCGTAATACATTGACAGCCAACTTGCCGACATTACTCGTTCCTTTCGCGCGGATAATAAATTTCTATAAATACATAAGTAATCGATCTTTTATATAATTGTTTATAGCATCACGAAACTCGTCTGCCTTACTCGTCAATGATGAATTATCGCTGCTTCGTTAAGCTTCATATGTTTATTCAAATTTATATTTATATTCTAGTTAAATTTATAGATTTTTAGATTATGTAGAATTACCCTATATTGCATATTGGTAGGATATTGCCTTCTTCGGCCGCAGTCGTTCGCAGTGTTCTTGCCCGAACAGCTGCCGTAGTCGTCCTTGAAACCGATCCCGGAATCACTGTTGCTGGAATGAGCGGTCGACGTGCTAACGTTGCTCGGCTGAGGCGAGGCGGTGTCCAAACGTATGCGCGCTTCGTTGTAAGGATTCGTCTCGCCGTTCGTGCAATCGGATATATACAATGTTTGTATGGCACCGATAAGATTCGTACAGCTATCGGGAAACTCTTGGCAAACATTCAGCTCGGACGACTTGGTGCACGTAAAGCCGAACACGTTACACGCACTAGAATGCACTTGGTGGTCGATTAACTTATAATAAATAGTGAAGACGTGACACGAGTTGGAGACGATATCGTCCGTGTCCCTCATGGATTTAGTCAATATACCAAAATACTGCTTGTCCTGCTCGGAGAAGGAGTTACAAAATATTATTCGATACGATGGGTACTCCGCGATCACGCGATTCTCCGAGTTGGTGAGCTTGATATTGGCAACGTGAATGGTGAGAAGAACGGTCGTCGGGTTTCGTTTCTCCGCCTTCAGCCTTTTGATGCACTTTCTTAAAACCTGCAACAGAAACAGTCGGGTAAAAGATCTGTATTACGTACAGTCTCAAGGAGGTTCTGGCATTTGACCGCAGATCAATTTGTAATATATAATACAAAAGTAAGACACGATATAAGAGTTGATCGAACTAAATGTGCGACAGAAATTTCGATAACCTTCACCGTATCGTTTTCGAGAGATATTTCATGATCAACTTGATACGTTTACAAGCATGCAAAATTTCATAGAACAGATTTCTTCTAATTTGATATATTTATGTACAAGATGAAAGTTTGAACAACTATTGTAACATTGACGATTAATATCCACAAATATTATAGGTGAATTTCAGAATTATTGACAGTTTCGTTTTAAAAATACAATGATGGAAGGATTTACGACGCATAATAACGTTCAATATACACACATATGCGTAAGCATGTATTTAAACGCTTATATACTTCTTTCTGTTACCTGTGTATCTGTTAGATCAACTGATGCGCAAATATAGCATCAAGAAGAAAGATAAAAAATATCTTCGGACTTGTAATATCGCATATACACATATTTACCTCGGCTTCATCTCAAACGAACATTTAATATCCGATCGGTGAAATAAACGTGCAGAAAAGAAAGTTAGATAAATAATAAATTAACGAGAATCTCCCTTGATGCGTCACAGAGAACACTTCACTCAGCGCTGGAACCTCTTTAAGCGAACCTCGGTTAGGTGACTTAAAAGTTGGAGAATCCTAATGCCGGAAGCATACCTGCATCATACACGACGAGTGCAGCTGATTCGGTATGTCGATGGTGCCGAGATAACCGACGACTGTCCTGTGAACGATCTTCTCCGAGTCACGCTTGTGGGACACCGGAGGGGGCGGCGGCGGCAGCGGACTCGTCATGTTCCAGCGATAGTGCAGGCCCGAGTAACTGTAGTGATCCTTGTTCTCCAGCACCGCGCTGGAGCCGACCGCGTGAAACATGGCGCCGCTCTGCAGATCCCTCACCACCTTCGCCACTCTGCACTGCAGCTGCAGAGCGCCGGCGTTGGTGGCTCTCGGCTTGTGGGCGTACTTGGGCTTGGATCTCACGGTGGCCAGGCCTTCCTCGTCGGACGAGTCCGAGTAGTAATTCTCAGCTATTTGCAGCCGCAGCATGCCCTTGGAGTTGCCTATCAGCTGCACCACGTCGTCGTGCGGCACCTTGCTGACATTGTGACCGTTGACAGCGACCAGGTAGTCGCCGGCGCGCAGCCCGGCGTTCTCCGCCGGGCTGCCTTGCACGATGCAGCTCAGTATGCATGGCTGCTGGCCGGAGATGGTGAAGCCGAAGCCTTTCACGCCTCGAATCACCTCGACCGCCCGCACCCCGTAGTTCACTCGCTTCTTCTTCCTCCTCTGGTTCTGGTGCATGCTTCCTGCTGCGCTGCGGCCCGTCAAGAGAGATCCTCCTCGCGGAGGAGACACGTGCACTCACCACCGTTGCTGCCGAGGACACTTCCGGGATTGCGATACCCCCGCCCCATTATTCGCGCCACGCACCGTCTTTACAGCGCGCATCCTTCGCTCGACGACGACGACTCGTCGCCGGCGCGACGATCGAAGTCGCTCGGCCCCGAGTGGTAGCGGCTGCTGCTGCTGGTCCCACCTCTCCCGATCATCCGTAGGCCGTGCTAAATTCCAAATCGATTCGACGTGAGATTATGGGAACACGCTCGTCGGGGGGTGTCTAGAACACTCGCCAGCTTGTTACCTCGGTCGCAGGACCCGGAACCTCTCGCACCTAGCAAACCCCGTGCAAGCTCTACGACGATCGAATGTTTTGGAATGCTTCGATCGAGGAGGCTAGAGAAGAGGGTGATCGACCTTGTGCGAAATAGAAAACGGCCCGAGAGGTTACGAGATGGTGGTGGTAGTCACGTTGTAGGGCGCACCACCGTCGCCGATGTTCCCGAGGCTGCAATTGGCTGTTGTGTTCGACGACGCTGCTTTCACGAATCTCAGAGAAGATTCCAACGGCTGCTAAATAAACGTACTGCTGAACGTGAGCAAAAAAATTCTGAATCTTATTTGGAGGATTCACGTTACGGCCCGGTATTCGTGGTTAAATCTTACGTATATTCAAGGCCGCCTTAAGTTCGTCTTCAGATGCTCCGCAGCCAATGAAACGAGCCGTACGGCATCTGAAGATGACCTTAAGATGGTTTCATATATAGACCCGACTACTGCCCGTTTCTACCCGTTATAGTTATATAGAAATTTACGAAATATCAATTCTTTCTCGAAAATACACTTGCATATCAGACAAAAACTCGTTTCCTAAACATTCCTCTACGGATCTAATTGTTCAATTTAAATCTTTCAGACGGATTCATATTGCACGTTTACCAATTAAAATCGCAAATTTTCGAGCAAATCGAAAGGAGGACGGGGTGTCTTTTATTTCGCGTGCGACGTTCGGTTGTCATCTGTCAACGTAATCCGACTCGTACAATTCGACGTTACCGAATTTTACGTTCACTCATTGCGTTCTGCATGCATCCGGGTATTTTCGTCCTCGCCCGGCGCCATTATCGTTCCGAATAATCGACTACAGTTGCTGGCGGTCACTAGTTGATAACAAACTGTACCGATTGCTATTATCACCGGCTAGGAGGGGCGAGAGGAAGGTCGCTTTCCAACGTAATCCAGTCCGTCGTCGTGATCTTCGCACGTCGCGTTTACAGTGCCGGCAAGTACAGTGGCAAGTACAGTGGCATGTCTCTCTGTCTTCTCGCCGCAAGTAATAGCACTTCTGAGTAATAATTATCGTGGGTGTCTCGCTTGAATTTTTGCGCGCGCGCAAACATGATTTCACGCTTAGATAAAATCGGACCGTGAGAGATACCTCCATCACTGATTCGCGAATCGTTCGGCGAGGCACGAGCGTTGCTTTTATCTTCGCAATGTTGCTGCGTCACGAAATCGCTCTTCTCGTCGCAATATCCTGCCTGGGTATCGGATTCGAGAACATTTCTTTGTTTTTTTCTACCAGCAACAATTATTCTCTCCGAATAGCTTACAGAATGGCACGAGAGATATAAAATCTACAAATAATTAAATGTAAATGTGTAGATCGAGGCGATATCACAGGAATATCACAGCACTGTTTTCTATATATAGCATCAGCTTCCATACTATTGCCAAAGTAGGGTTTAATCAGCGAGCTGCAATTTTCTTATCACAGGAGCTTCAGCTGCAGTGTCGCAAGTAGGATCACGTCTGCTGTCATCCATGGCTCAAGCTCTGCAAACCCACGAAGTCGTACCAGACGTGGTGGACAAGGTGCCTGCCGATGTGCTGAATGTTACCTATCCCAACAATCTTGTCGTTGAGATTGGAAAGGTGCTCACTCCGACTCAGGTCAAGAATCAGCCTGAGGTTCAGTGGAGTGGCGAAGCTGATGTTTACTACACCTTGTGTATGACTGGTAAATAGCTTTTGTCATATATATATAGCTAAGCACTTGATCTTGTATTGACAGTTGTAATATATATTATTTCTCCATTCAAACAGATCCTGACGCACCGAGCAGGAAAGAGCCCAAGTTCCGGGAATGGCATCACTGGTTGGTCGGTAACATCCCTGAATCCGATGTGTCTAAGGGAGAGGTTCTTTCTCAGTATGTCGGCTCCGGCCCTCCGCAAGGCACTGGTCTTCATCGATATGTATTCTTGTTGTACAAGCAACCAGGCAAGCTGACATTCGACGAGAAACGTTTGACTAATCGCAGCGGCGAGAACCGTGGGAAATTCTCCATTAAAAATTTCGCTACTAAATATAAGCTCGGCGATCCGATTGCCGGTAACATGTATCAAGCAGAGTGGGACGATTACGTGCCAACTCTTTACAAGCAGCTCGGGAGTTAAGGTTTATATGATGTATTTACAACATATATATATATAGTATATAGTGTATACATATATATGTATATGTATACACATAATGTACACCTAATATCTTGTTGAGTAATAAATGCATTTCAAGCATTCTTTTATGCACTATAATAATCGTGTTTTTACAACCAAGAAAGCAACAAGTAAGATATTTCTTATTTTGATTCATCCATCTGACTTGCTTCGCGAGTTCAGGGTGATTATTCATTCACAAGAGAAGGACAGAGTGATGATACCATTGATATTGACGGGGATTTAGTGTGATAATTATATAAGACAATTGTGGCATTTTATATATATCGCTTAAAGATATCGCGTCAAATTCATATCATTAACTTTTGTTTTTCTTATGAAAAAAAATGTCGCGATTTAAAATTCTGGATCTTCTTGTACGTATCGTACGTATCAAGACTGCATCTTGTTGAATTAAATGAAGCAGAAAAAGAAAAGCTACGGATGTGAAATGGAAGAAACATTTGACGAGCCGAATTCGATGTAAGTGAACCCGTAGTTTGTGCTGACGTACGTTACGTGTTATGAAAACAAGATGAATTTCAATTTTGCAAATTGAACAATGACGATCCTTCGTGCGGATAAAATTTGCCTGAGAATCTACGACTCTCGAAGTCAGCTTTAATTGCGCGACGAACAGATCCATACGTACGCTCTGTAGCATCGTTTGAATAAACTCGTGGAGCTAATTTACGATCTGTAAAATAACGAGGGAAATCTTTGTCGGGAAATTGCCACTTATTTTCTTGCTACATGTTAGCAATAGGTGCACGGTATTGGAAAGGTCAGCAGGACTGGCCTTCTCGGATGTAAACTGGTGGGGAACACCCGACCATAAAACTTTCCATCTCTCTCGCAGATCCCGTTAATACCGTCTTTGCAGGTGACTGAAAACAGTGAGCCACCAAGAATGAAGTATTTAACATCAGGTTCGTACCGTTTTCGTGCTTGTTGTTACAATAATAAGTCTAATTAAGTATAAGTGTAATACGTATAGTTTTGCGCAAAGAGAATCATCTGCGTTGACGAGCGTTGATATCTCGATAGCGAATGGAGATCAGTGATTTTTTTCTTATCGTTAACTTTACATCCGCAATAACGATCCTCAGGAATCTTCCTGTGCGCGTTTCTTGGCTTCGCGTTGGGCGACGTGGAGTCGGAGTTTAAAAAGGCGAATATCGAGCCCGACATCATAGACAAAGCGCCGACTGATAAGATAGAGGTATGCGTTGAATATTCATGTCGTTGGAAATACACGGACAGAGATGAATATTCAGTCGGATCGGACGACTTTTTTCACCGCTCGTGCTGAGAGTTTTATGTTTCGCGTGTGTATGCACACATTACTCTCTCTGTCTGTTATTATCCGTTATTATTCTGTTATATTTATGCATCGTGTCATTTCCCGCGATAAATGACTATATTTCTTCATCACAGGTCAAGTACGGCGACAAGGTGGTCGATTTAGGGACCGAGTTGACGCCGACCGAGACCCACGAGATACCCGAAATACACTACAAACACGAGGGCGGAGTGCTGTACACGCTCGTTATGACAGGTGAGCCTCGAACTGGCTGGAATTGATAAATACGAAAAATAGATTAAAAACACGCTTGTTGCGACAGGTAAGCCTCGGGCGATTAAATTGATAGATATTAAAAATACCTTAAAAAACACTCACGAAAATGGGTACACCGCGACAACAACAAGCTCCCCGAGTGAGCTCGCTTTATTTCCTCGCGCCGAAAACGATCGTCTCGCGATGCGAATCGCGAGATCGACGCGGGTCAAACGCGCCCAAAGACGCGTCGCTATCCTCGATTCAACTTTCACCGCAAACCCGTTTTCTCTCCGCCGCTACCCGCCGACACGCGAACTCATCGGCGTCTTAATTGTCAAGTTTCGAGCCATGCAAATCCAATATGCAAATGTACACCTCTCGGAACGACAATTTTATCGGTCGATATTCATTGTCGTTCCCACGGGGAATTCCTCTCGTTGTTTCATCTCGCTCTCAGTTTCGCCGTATCGCGATAGATCCCGACGTGCCGAGGAGGGGAGGATACAATCGAGAATTCCGTCATTGGATCGTCGGGAATATACCGGAGGAGAACGTGGCGAAGGGTGAGATCCTGGCGGAATACGTCGGCCCTGCCCCGCCTAAGGACACCGGCAAACATCGTTACGTATTTCTCGTCTACAAGCAGAATCAGGGCTCGATTACTTTCGACGAGAGGAGGCTGAGCACCTGGTGAGCGGTGACGCGCAATTTGCGTCATATATATAAAATAGTTGCGTTCTGCGTACGTTTACAGGGAGACAAAAGATTACACGTGAAACTTGCCCGTGTATGACTATATATAATCATATATAGTCAACGAAAAAATACCGTTGTTGGCGAATTATATACAAATATAATCGAAGTAAACGCTCCTGGTGCCACTTGTACTTCTGACAGCACACGATACTTCGACATTTAATTAAATGACGTAACATCATTCCTTTTCGAATAGACACATGTGATCATACATGTAACCACATATATGAGCACAATTCATGTATGATTTTATATCATTATATATAAGCGGATATAATTTTTTCCCGGATTGCGCAACCGCAACTCTCTCTCTTCTTCCCGATAACGCGTTTTATCTTCTTCGACTTTCGCAGGGACGGCAACCAGCGGAAGAGGTTCTCCGTGAAGAAGTTCGCGGAGAAGTACGATCTGAAGGGTCCGATCGCCGGTAACTTCATGAAGACGGAGTACGACGATAACGTTCCCTCTTATCACAAACACTTGGGTTTCTGATTTCAACCCGCAAATGGATGATCCGAACTGAATTTCTTCGGAGATACGTGACAGATATACATACACACGGAAAAAAAGGTGTCTTTATATTTAGTATTTCTATTTATTTCACTGAGATTTCTTTCATAGGAACAACATGCGCGAAATATTATTCGTTTGGGTAAAAATTCTATTGTCTCATTCGAGAAAACTCGATGATTCAATAGAAAGAACGCTATTATTTCAAGCAATATCTTTTAACCGGATAAAATATTATCCGGTTACGATAAATATGTAAAATGAAGCAATTTCTTTGTAAGAAAATTATCTTTCGTTTCGAACAAATTTTTTATTTAAGACAAAGATACGTATTTTCATTGAAAAGTCTAAAAATCAACAACCGCGCTTATTAATCGGAGCATCAGTTTCTTCGGAGCATTGCCAATGATAATGATAAAAAATTTGTTTCGATGCGACAAAATTTAACTAAATTTGAAGAAATCTTTTCCTCAGTGTTTAGATAAATATACTAAACTTTATACGTCATTTGAGATCACGCGAAATCTCTGCCGTTACTTTCTCCAGATTATTACATAAAAATAAAGCACATTTTCGCGCCATTAACCTATATTGAAGGAACACAAATGAAATCGTAGCCGACCGTAGTTACATACTTGTCACCTTCACTGAACCTTTCTTCAGTAAACTCTTCATCTAATAATGGTATAACCGGTGGTGTAACAAAGAACGCGACATCTTCGACAAACTTTTCAAACAAAATTTTCTTTCCCTACAAAAAAAAGAAATATACAGGAACGAGCGAGATTTCTTACGAGTAAACAAAAGAAAGAGAGAGAGAGAGAGAGAGAGAGAGAAGCCAGTACCCGTTTCGCACCGAGTTCTATATATTTTCTCGTTGGTTTCGTTATTATTATAAATATAAAAGGTACATGACATTCAATTACGTTCATATCCCCGAGGTCGTTACATGACGTTACATTCGCGCCCTTCGCGGGCGTATCACTAGTAAAGTAGGTGTAAATCCTTAACTTTACGGGCTTATCCTCTACGATCGATTATTATGAAATACTTGCGGCTTGTCGCACTTGTTACACGTTATTACACATTGACTAGAATATAATGAGCGCATTTCGCGACCGATCGTCATCGATCTTTCGGCGCCGCGCGCGCCGTCGCGACGAGCGCGACGCTTAGAAAAAGAGCAGATCATTATAAGAAGCTAGTCGGGGGGGGGGGGGGGGG